AGCTTCTCATTGACATGAGGCGCTGGTTATGTGTTTAGATTTGCAGAATTTTATCGGTTTTCTCCGGGACTAGAACTTAATCATCACTACAATCGCCTTATATGATACTAATTTTCTAAGGCGCTGACAAGTTTGATGAAGCATTCTACTGTTGTATTTGTTACAGTACACACCTATCCTGGTGTCTAAGCAATTTGAAATGTTGTTGAAATTGTCTACTTTGTATTTTACCTTATTTTTATAGTTGATGTTTTACCTCCTTGCTTAAGTCGACCGATTTCCTCTTTCTTTCGGAAGGGTGGCTACTTTATCGATAGTCTTGAGAGGGGATGCATTCATGTACTAAAGTCCCTCCTCGGCGACCCCATACCTTCACTGCAAGCTCAGGATCCTCCCTCGAAAAGGTGTCTTGTCATTTATAAAGAAACAAATTTCTGCATAAATCGAAACGATGATTAAATACCTAAAACCCTTAAACATTTCTAGTGTCAGACGCACTATCTCATCGTCAATTATGGCACTTCGGCAGTACTGGAATTGCTTGAATGTTGTTGGACTAAGTCGAACTATTCCCCGACCCGATATATCCCGATTTCCTCCAATTTCTTGGTGCGTTTCTAGTTGCCTTCTTTTCTCTACCTCATTACGTATCATGGTTTGAAATAACTCCTGTTCGGGTCATGTTCTTACTAACTAAAACCGCATGCAGCTTAAATGAACTAAAGTTTATCCGAATGCTCCAGTAGTACCAACTGAACTCATTTTTACAAATCCAAGGCCATTGGTTAAAGCTGTAAAGTGGCCAGAAAGGAATCCGACCCTTTCAAAATCAGTCGTGGCTTTCAGCCAAAAGGTGCTTCGCAAGTTGCCGACGCTCTCAGAGAAACCCAGTCAAGGAGACATCGTTTTTCTCCTCCCCATTGATAAGCAAAACGATTTGGACCGACTTTTTACAAGATGGACTGATTGGTTAGTGTTGTTTATCTCGCGCTTGTAACCTTTACTTAATTGGACAGCGGATTCCACAGGAGCAAACTCCTCTTTCACTATTCCCTTAAGCTGTTACATGATGCGTCATAGCTTCCTACCTAAGTGCTACAAAGTTGCATACACCTAGTGTGCTTCACATTGTTTAGCTTAAAGACTCATGGCGTGGACTCATATCAGCTTCAAGCCTATGTAGAGGCAGGTGTGCGAGCACCTTCAAGGGGTAATAGCGTGAGTTGCATCTGTTTCGAGTTGAGAAATTTGAGTCCCATTATGCCTATTTTCCTCTATTTTTTTCCAATTTTATCAGGATGTCTCAACACCCCGAAAAAAAACCAGACTTAATTTGAGCGAGAAAAGTTCCCTTGACAGCGCACCCACTCTATTTAAGGCGCTTGAGGACACGGTGATAAGTCTGTTCAAAAACGAGGTCAGTATTACTTTACTCTGATCCACTTCGACAGTTTACTGGCTTACTTGGTCATCAACTTTGTAGTTCACAGTGGCATTTGTGGTCGCAAAAAATGTATCAATAACTACTTTCATCTCACCCTTCTGCCTGGTTCCCTTTGATTTGCGCAAAAAATTTCTTTCGACCAAATTGGAACTCCCCAAACGCCTGTCTGACCAATGTGGCTCAAAGCAGCCTCGATCAAGCCTTGCCTTCTCAAATTGCTCCGAGTTCTCAGAGTCCGACTCTCGACTCATGTACGTGGATTTGACATGCGATGGGAAGATGGACTCACAGGCTTTTGAGTGCCTCAACCAGAAGCAGGAAAGGAGGAATTCTTTGAACAACATAAGGTACAAGGCTTTTCTTTAACTTCATTTCCTTCTCATGACAGAGCTATGATTGCGAACGCAAATGAGGTTTTGTTTTCTATTGGTGCTCTAAAGGAACTAATTTGTCGATTTGATTATTTAACGCGTTTTATGAGTTGCGCCTTTTCCTTTAAGCTGGTATTTTGTCCAATGTACGGTTATGTACATTTGGGCTTAAAGTACATGCAGCATAAAACTGATTTTGAAGTCATAACTTTCATGGTTGTTGCGTCGAGTTGCTGCCAGTGTGACGACGGAATATGAAGTAGGCAAACAGTTTCGCCAAAATGCAAGCTTTTTGCCAACAGGCCTGTGAGTGTATTGGTAACCATGTCATACATTTGGCATTCGATGATTTGGGGTACTGTAACGAACAAATCGTTTTCAAATTCATGAATTTGGCAATTAATCTGTCTGAAAGTCTCCAGGTCATCGAGAGGCCAACGCCTATCGTACAGACCTGGCCTCAGCAGCACCAACGACCTGCTTCCAACAGGACTTATATAGACAAAGTTGGCTAGTGTGTATGTGCCTGCGAGTGGTGAATGCTTGCAGGTGCATGGCTTGGTTTCTAATTTTTTCCCCCTCGGAGATGAAGCGCAATAATCCACCAAAAGCCCTCTAATTAGTGTCGCCTTGGCCTATGTGTAAAGACCCTATTTCTATTTTCCATTTTTTTCAGTGTTCTGGCCTTTTCCTTCAATTGTTCAGGCTCCGAATTGACATTGAACAGTCTAAATTCCACGTCTAGTTGGGTCAACGTGCCTCTGCAGTGCTGCAGATCTCCAAAGGCCTCAGTTTGTACTCACTGCGTTGCCAACATGTTGGCTGTAATGGATTTCGTTATCCTGCCCATGAGTTACGCCTTCGCTCCCGATCTCTTAGTCATCAATGTCGGTGGTTTTACCGCAAAAGAGGTTAGCCGGTTTCAAATCAACTTCTTTATCAGCCTTCATCCTCGAACGTAGTTAGTTTCTGATCCTTGTGAATTGAGCTGACTTCCCGAACATCATTGGGCATTCAGTTTGAAAGCCGATTTATAATGTCACACTTGCTAAAGCCAGTTGGTTTTCGTATTGCCTACTAATTCTAGTTGTTCTTCTTCCTATGTTAATGACTAATAATTCCTCTACTTCTACCTTATTTGTTGATAATTTAGTACTCTTAACCTCTTTTCATTGTTCATTTACCAAGCCGTTTCCTTAAACATACATTCTTA